TGCTGTGCCTCCAAAAAGAAGAGCCAGCTTAGGTGGGCCAGCTGTACAGTACCAGATATGCCCCCAGAAGAAAGGAATGGTCAACCGCTTCTGAGTCTTCCCTACCTGCAAAACCTGGAGAAGGGTCACCAAGCACTTCTGAGTCTTCCCTACCTGGAAAACCCAGAGAAGGGTCACCAAGATAGAGAATTGATTTGATGGCACACAATTATTAGCTGCTTGGATAGCTCGGTGATTTATGTCTCTGGCTGCATATTAGCTGCTTGGATAGCTCGGTGATTTAGGTCTAAGGCTGCAGAGCAAGAGGTTGGGAATTCAATTCCCCCACTGTGCCTCCAGCAAGTAGAGCCAGCCTGGGTAGCCCTGGGACAGCTGCACCGTCCATTTGCTCTGCTTCAGGTAGAAGCAGAGCAAAGCAAAAAAGGTAGAATTCTCTTCTTCCTGAGAAAAAGAAAGTGGGAGATCACTTCTGAGCATGCTCTACCTGGAAAAGGTTGCTGCAAGTTAGAATTGAGTGGACGGCACCTGATTATTATTGATGGTTGGATAAGTTTCAGTGAGATAACCTGGAAAAGGTTGCTGTAAGTCAGAATTGAGTGGACAGCACCTGATTATTATTGATGGTTCAATAAGTTTCAGTGAGATGATGATGGCACTGAAGGGCTGGGAGTAGCTCAGTCATTTAAAGAGGACAACGACTGGTTGGAAGGCCTCCAGAGGAGGGTGGCAAAACAAAGGCCCAGAAACGGAGTCTGACGAAGGAAGGCCTCCAGAGGAGGGTGGCAAAACATGCCCTCAAAGGCCCAGAAACGGAGTCCAACAAGGAACAGTCGGAGGTGGTGGGAAGGTTCAGCCGGGAGAAAGGACGGCTGGGAAGTGACAGGACGGCCACCTTTCGGATTCTCCAGAGTTCTTAGAAAGGTGGAGCCAGCTTTCATTTCTGCTGCTCTCAAGGGCAGGGGCCCAAACCAAGGGATTCAAATTGCAAATAGATCCTGACTAAACATTAGGAAGAAATTCCTCATGCGAAGAGCAGGGACCACCTTGGGAAAGGGTTAGCCTCTCCTTCGGAAGGTTCCCAACAGGCCAAAGATGATCCCGTTATGGACTTTCTGCAGCCACTGTGATTAGATTCAGTGACCCCTTGGGGTGAATTCCAGCTCATTTACATTTGGGTTCTGGATCCTTGCCCCCTCCAGATGCATTAAAATGAGTAGAGAAGGGACAGACAGCTGGGAGAGAAAGGTGGTTTATACAATGGGGTGATCATGAAAAATGCTTTCTGGGGGGGGGAACTTCAGTCACTCCCCCAATGTCCTATGGTGGGCAGATATACGAGGACAGATTTAAATGGCCACTCACTAGGTAGATCTGGGAGAAGTTGGTCTGTCTTGTACATTAGTTGAAAGTGTTGTGTTGCTGTTGGCTGTCCTCTTTGTTTTGTTTTTTAATACTTTTTTTTAAAATGTTGGCTTTAATTTTTTTCCTCTTAAGTCACAGCCCCCAGAGCAAGGAAATTCAGAACACAAACCACCCTTTGTTGCTTTTTTTAAAAAAGGGCACACTAGGGCATCCTTCCTGTATGTCAATGTCAACTCCATGGAACACTATATCATAATAGCCCTATCTACCCCACTTCCTACATAGGGCGTCCCTAGTGATGTGGAAAAGCTGAAATAAACTATGGGACTAGATAACCTTGGAATTTGCAGAAAGCAGATTATGGTACAGTCCTACCCACTCGGAGACAGGATGGCAATTGGTGATGATGATGATGACTTCGACTTATGGTAACCCTTGCCAGGATTTCCTAGCTACAGGTGGTTTATCTGCCCCTTCTTCTGGGGCCCTGAAGGACTGCACAGTTTACCCAAGGCTAGGTTGAATGATCCAAACGAGTATGTCAATCCCAATGAGTCAACGGGTTGGCTTTAATTGGGTGTAGCAACAGAATCTTGGCCATAATCTTTTCTTGCCCAGTCCGATTGTTCTGTATTTTGGGAAAGGAAATCTCATTGTACTTAATGGACTAGCCCCAAAGAAACTGGTTTCCCACCTTTTCAGGGAGTCCAAGCACATAGCCCACTCCTTATGTTTACAGGGGGTAGAAGTTAAGGTACAAGGACAATGCACCAGTGTGTCCATCGCTTGAGTGTCTGCACGCATGGAACTGATGGGCAGCCTGTCTTACAACCCTAGCTTTCTGCTTTGTACAGAAGGTATTCTTTTGAAATTGGGGCCAACAGCTGGGGAAGCAGAAAGTCCTGCTGCACACTTAAAAGCTGCAGGCAGCGCATCAGCCAGGCATGTCCTGCAGGAAAGACAACATGGCAGAGCTTTTTCCTGCTTCTGCAGGACTGGGTGTGTGTATCCCTTTCAGGCTTGCTCTTCTATGATTCTAACCAACGGTGGGTCTCTGTGGTCTTCCAGCAATTGTTGCGGTCCTCAGCGACAACTACCATGGCGAGTGGTTAGGGATGATGAGATTTGTAGTCCAATATCTGGACACCACAGATTCCTCAAGTCGTGCCCCAAGGGAGACCTCGGTAGATAGGGAAGAACTTAAGAGAAAGTGTCTTGTATTGACTTTGGAGGTGAGACTTGACTTCCGGACCCTTTCACTTACCCAGCTCCTGACCAAGTGGGAGTGACAGGGAGCAATACATATACAGTATATTTCTTTTTAATTTGCAAGGGAAGCAGGTTTATTGCTCTCAGATCCCACCTTTCCTTGGGTGAGGTGAAACATAGGGCTTTTCTCCTCCAACCTTTATCCTAACAACAGCCCTACGGGGCGGTCAGGCTTTGAAGGTGGGAGTGGTCCAAGATCACCCGGTGGGTTTCATGGCTCAGCAGCGGCTTGAACTGGGGTCCTAGTCTTCTACCCTAACCACTAGACTTTGCTGCTCTCTCCTACACATGGCTGATAGTGGCAGGATGGTGAAGCAGGCCTTCTGAAGCTGGGGGGCTCCCAGGAGCTGAAGGCCCAGGACTCCCCCCCCACACACAACAACACTCACCAGGGCAGATGAAGAGCTAAGCCAGGACTTTTCCCCACTCCTTCACACCTCTGCACACATCTTTTTCCCCTGTGCTTGAAACCTTCTGACTTTTGCCTAGGAGCATCCCAGGAAGATGCAGATCTGGGTTCTAATCCCGACCCTGTCACACCCTCTCAGCATGACCTACCTCACCGGTGGGGGGGGAGGGATGGAGGGAGAGAGGAGACCTGCATCCTGCCTCGACAGGAGGAAAAGTGGAATTTAAGTGTACAAAATGGACATCATAGTGAAACGGGGTTCTTTGAAAATAAAATAAATATACTAGTGCTCAGAGCTCCTAGTAGGAGGGGAAGGCTGGCGCTTCCTTCCTTCCGTCCGGCTGGTGCAGGGATGGGCTTGATCCACCCAAAGAAGCCATTGCGCAGAATTGCCTCCCGGAGGGTCCCTGGCCGCCCGCGAACCTCTGGCCGGGCAGGCGGCGGAGGCGCCGGGCCATCTAGTCTCCCAGGGACGGGCCAGAGGGCGCGGCTGGGGAGGCTCTCGGCCCCCTTGTCCTTGGTCCCCGAGGCGGCTCCGGTTCCCTCCCTCCCTCTTTCCCTCCCTGGCGATCTCCCGGTCACATGCGGATGATTATTGCCGGTTGGACGGGCTTTAACCCTTTCGGGCGCGGGCTGGCGGCTCCCCGCCAATAAAAAATAAATTCCCGCGACTCAGCTCTTTTGCTCTATTTTAAGATAATTCCTTCTGACAGATGCCAGAGCTTTCTGGTTCTGGCGTGTTTCCGCAGCGACTTGCACAGAATGTGGGATGCCGGTTTCAGTGATCTGTTTAATATCCCCTCCCTGAGCCACGCTGGGTTGCCTCCTGGTGGGAGGGAGGGAGGTCGGCGGAGGCGACGAATCTCGTCCTTTTACCACAAAGCTCCCTCAGGCTTTTAGTACTAACACAAGCGTGGCTTTTCCCTTCGAGTTACGTATACACAGACGTCCTAAAGGAGAAGTTCAGCAACCTCATAATACCCAATCCGTGTCTGCTTTGCTGATCAACTCGTTTCACTGCCACCCGAGAGATCGACTTTTTGCAATCCTGAGGGGCTGGGCTCAAAACCCGAAGCGAAGCCACGCCAGCTCGTGCCTTCCTCGGGCTGGCTTCGACAACCTCCCACCGGCTGGCACCAAAGAGTGTAGTTGCCGGGTACCCGCACTGCCTGCCTGCCTGCCTCCCTCGTCCTGGTCACCCCTTCGGTGGGTGTTGGGAGAGAAGGCGGAGCCGCTTTCTGAGTCCCTCATAGTAGGGACCGGTGTTACTTGTGGTCATTCAAAGAGAGAGACGCCTTTTCAAAAATTCCTCCTCCTCCTCCTCCTCCTCCTCCCCGCCCGGCTGCGAGGGGTCGGGGGAGGGGGCAGCATGGCCTGGCCGTCCGGCCCCTTTTCCTCCGCTCAGCTGCCCCGGGAGTGCGGCGCTGCGCCTCGCAGGGAGAAGAGGTCC